CCTGCGCAGAGGATTGGAGAATCACCAAAGGCCTGTTCGACGAAGATGGAATAAGATGGGCTATATCTACCTCAGCGCATTTCACAGCACCTGGAGCAGATGGCATTTTCCCAGCTCATCTTCAAAAGGGACTTCCCCGGTTACTACCATTAGTCTTACGTCCTTCGTGCTAAAAACAATGGAAAGCATCGTAGACAGGCATATCAGGGATAGTTTCCTTATCAGCAACCCTTTGCACAGACACCAATATGCCTATCTTCCAGGAAGATCTACTATCCACGCTCTTCAGAATCTAACAAGGAAAATTGAAAAGTCCCTGGAGGACAAAGAGGTGGCAGGGGTTTGTTTCTTGGATGTGGAGGGCACTTTCGACAACACGGAACACTCTCTAATAGACAATTGCGTCCGGCGCAGAGGGGTTGATCAAACCACATGTCGCCGGATAGCAAACGTCCTGAAATCCAGAACCATTACATCCACTCTAGGACAGGAAAGGGTCAGTTTCTTAGCTACGAAAGGTTACACGCAGGGGGGAGTGATCTCTTCCTCTCTCTCTTTGCTATGGTCCATCGTAGTAGATCATATATGTAACACTTCTATATTGCTAGTATATTCAAGGTACATTCGCCAACATCAGAGTGCCGAAATATTGAAAAAAGAAAGAGAGATCCGATAAGAGAATGTACTCAAAATGACAATTTTACTTCTCAAAATTCAGGGGCGGTTTCACAATTTTTCATTTAAAAACAACTCTTATGAAAAATTAAATTTATAATAAAATTTTTGTAAATCTATGAGAAGCGCTGCGGCCGTTGGTGGTGGCAGAGGATAAAAATACCAGTTAGAGAAGGACTTGGCATCAGTTGGCATTTCCAATTGGCATCAATCAGCATAGAAGGGAATCGAATAACATGCTTTATTGGATTCGACCAACATATAAAATAACACACCGCTTTATGTGTAAATAAGATTTGTCTTTGTTAGGAAAAGATCTTCTATCTTCCAATTTTTCAGATTTCCAAATAAGGAGGAGCATCGGAAAAATTTGTCATACCGAGTCCTAACCCTTAAAATAATGTATATATATATTATTTTTAAATTACTTTTTGATGCAGGTGCTCTTAGAGGCATTTATGCATAAATTTTGAAAAAAGTTGTCTTACTTCATTTTCGCGGCTAGGGCTCGATATACATTTCCGCGTGAAGGAAACATGAGACCGTCAAATTTGTGTTTGTTTGTTGAATTCCCTGAACCGGCCCTGTTATGATATGGCACTTCATCTATGTAGTAGTTTACAAATATACACGTATACTTCTACAATCACAAAAAATTTCATAGGCTGTCTTTCTTTGATTTGGAATGGAAAACTCATTGCGATCATATTGTACTAGCAATATAGAAGTATTACATATATGTAGTAGATGAACTACTCTGCCTTCTTAGCGAAAAAGGCTTCGACGTTCAGGGCTATGCGGATGACATTGTCATCCCAATCAGAGGTAGGTTCGAAGATACCATCTCCAACCTCCTATAGAATGCTCTGAACATAGTCGCCATTTGGTGTAGTAAATATGGGTTAAACGTTAACCCGAAGAAGACTAGCATAGTCATTTTCTCCAGGAAAAGTATAAGGGACAAATCAGTAGAACCTTTCCTTCAAGGTGAAAAGATACACTTCTCCAAAGAAGTCAAATATCTAGGAGTTATACTTGATGACAAGCTCTCATGGAATCCACATCTAGATAAAACTATTCAAAAGACCAGTGCCTCTATCTAGACCTGCCGGAAACTTATGGGATGGTACTGGGGCATCTGACCTAAACTGGCGACGTGGATGTATGAAGCTGTTTCCATGCTATGCTGCACCCATCTGGTGGAAGAAGGCGGAAGTGAAGTCCACACAGGCTAAGCAGCCCTACAGAGACTGGCCTTCATGGGTATCACTGGCGGAATGAGAACAACACCAACGGCGGCTCTCGAGGTGCTTCTTGACCTGCCTCCCCTACAAATTGTAATCAAGAAAGAGGGTCTGATGTTTACAGCAAGGCTCATCTCAGGGGACAGTGTAGAGGACAAGAAGTATNTGCGGCCAACGGCCGCGCAGAAAGAAGTTCTGCGCAAAAATACTTCCGTTCCCCTTTCCCGGCAACACAGAAAGGAGAATTCTTCTTAGTAAGGGTTATAATCCCTAAACGCGGCCGAAGGCCGCCTACGCAGAAAGCAGTTCTGCGAAAAAATACTTCCGGTCAACTTTTCCGGCAACACAGAACGGAGAATTCTACTTAGTAAGGGTTATAATCCGTAAGCGCGGCCGAAGGCCGCCTACGCAGAAAGAAGTTCTGCGCAAAAATACTTCCGCCCTTCGTTTCCGGCAACACAGAAAGGAGAGTTCTACTTAGTAAGGGTTGTTAACCCTAAGCGCGGCCGAAGGCCGCCTACGCAGAAAGCAGTTCTGCGAAAAAATACTTCCGGTCAACTTTTCCGGCAACACAGAAAGGAGAATTCTACTTAGTAAGGGTTATAATCCCTAAGCGCGGCCGAAGGCCGCCTACGCAGAAAGAAGTTCTGCGCAAAAA